ATTTCTTTTTATTCACTGTGCACCACATTTTACTGAAACTTCTCAACATACAGCACCACCGTTTTTAGGACATACTTCTTCTCCCAACACACCTTTTACTCTGGGTAGCTCGAAGCGGTTGGTTGCGAGCTGCTGCTTTGATCTCGGTAAAACCTCAGGCATGTGCGATCACTCAAAGGAACCATCAGAAGTGCGTTTTCCTTTTCCAGAACCGCACCCACCCACGCCTACGTGAACGAGAACCATCAAAAGTGCGTTTTCCTTTTCCAGAACCGCACCCACCCACGCCTACGTGAACGAAATAATACAAATTTTCGAGCACCGTGGTGCTCTCAAGCTCATTGGTGCAATAAACTGGACTTCTTCTAGCTCCGCCGCAAGTCCTGTGATCTGTCCTGTCCTGTCCTGTCCACGTCAAAAATTTGAACCGAGCGCTCAAGGTCGTTCAGTTCAGAGTGTTGAAATTATTCTAAAAACCTGATTATCTTGTCACACGTAAGCTGTATACTAGCGCAAGTGTACTTGAGGTCTCTAACCAATGAAGCGAAGAGATATTCTTGCTTGTTTCCCCCCCCCCCAAGGAGACAACGTTCTGGACACGGGTTTGAAGTGTGAGGATCACAAATACTCAATCAACCGTACGCAGTGTTGGAAGCTACTCCCATCTGCCGACAACACAACGAACTGGACGCTCGATTGGCAAGAGCCATTTTCATCCTGTGCAACTGACCTGAACTGAACTGAACTTTCTGCCTTTCAGAAAAAACCTATTGACTCGCAGTGTTGGAAGCCACAAGAACAGCCAACAACACATCAATCTGGACGCAAGATTGGCCTGGGCCACACATCGTCCTGTGCAAACTGAACTGAACTGAACTGAACTGGACTGAACTGAACTGAACTGGTATTTGACATTGAAGGTCGGCTGTGCTACACCCGTGGGTGGAAATTCTCCCTGGCGTTGGGACATTTTCTTGAGTCCCATGGTTTGTATCCAGTGGGATGGAGGATCTATCGCTCTATTTCTCGAACGAAGACAACCACGATCAACGGAGTGACAAATCAAATTTCAAACAGAGTCGAAAAGAGTTGAAGGCTCGACGTCCAAAGTCCTTCGTTTCATACAGAAATGAGAACGGTTTGTCGAGTGAACCGCATTACTCCATAACTTCGGTCGAAATAGACCAACTTTACGCAAATAGTGCTGAGGTCTTCACGGCAAAGTCAGATTTACCTCAAGACATGCCCTGCCAATTACCCCCGGAGGTTGAAGAGGGTAACATTGAATATAAAGTGAGTTCGAAGTCCCTTTTTATTATGCTGAAGTGAATGCACTTCCAAAGTTCTCTTGTTTGCTTTCACTTTGTACAGTTTATAAAAATCGCAATAGCATCGAATTAGGATACCTGTCACTTACGTGAGCGGACTTTTATCATATTTCCACTTCCCAGCGTTCAACACTGAGGTATTTCCAAATCTGAATTGTAACTAGGTCCCTTAAAAATTCGGGAATCAAACCTGAGGCTTTCCGCTTGTCTTACGCTCTAGTTCTTGGCTTGGCGGGTTTGGTTTTAGATAGTTCAGCCCCTGTCTACTAACGGTAAATCAGAGGTCTGACTGAAGACTCCGGATTCTTACCTTACGAGCTGTGTGGGTTTTGATGGGCTTCGGATTTTTCATAACTCTCCGGTTCGGCCTATCCGTTGCAGTATAAAATCAACCGGCTACCTCCACATGCGTAAGTCATTTGATAGTTATGGAAGGCGACGGCGCACGTTACCCGTGGGGACCCTTCCCGAAGCGTATAACGTTACTAACCTCGACCCCCCTTATTTTGTTCTTTTTCTAATGTTTTTCATTGCAGTTGGTATGGTAAATGTTTTCTCATTTTTAAATAATAGTCCCTATTTAATTATTTATTTCCGTTACGTAACCTAGGTACCTCGGTAAGGTAGTATCCGATCCTTTTGTATTTATTTCCTTCTTGGATGATCGAAACGTAAAGAAAGGCTATTTTCAACGGGCGTAAGGTCGATCAGCGTTCACACTTCTGCCTATACTGCAACGTTGGGTGATGTCGGGAACCACGGTGCATACCGACCAGTGGGGAGCGTATCGTACATTCTTTGGGATATGTTCATATGCGCAGTAATCACTCGGATGTCTTCATCAATCCTGCGACGGGAATGCACACAAATAACTTGTGCACTCTGGATCCATATCAAATGCAGACTGAAGAGTGTAACAGGATCTGTCAGTGACATTATCTGGGACCATCTGGATGAAGTACAATACCGTATATGGTTTGAACTTTCAATTCGGATGTTCCAGAAGTTATTGCAACGTATCAGTCAGTTGTATCTCTGTTGAACATTCACTAGATGTCGTTTCACACTTTATACTTTATAGATACTTTACTGTTATACTTTATTGTTATAATAAATATAATAAATTAATGTTCTGCTTTATAGTCAATAGGACATTTGATACTGCTTATGAGAATTCAGTTTACATATCGATCATTGTGGTAGGAAGAATCCTCGCGGGTAACGTGCGCCGAAGGCGACAACTCATCCCCGGTCCAAAAACACGTTTGACACACAAAACATCAGACAAAAGACGGTGAGAAGAGTAAAAGCTGTCCTCACGCGTGAGATACAGTGGCATCACAAGATACGTCAAACCCAGGATGTTGGCTTTTCGTCCTCTCTCAGTTTCAGTTTTCACAACCATTAACCATGCATTTTCATGCGCCGGTCTTGGTCGCTGTCTTTCCGCTCTCCGTTTGGATAAAAGAGCAGAATGAAGATTGGAACGTTGGGAGGAGAGTCAAACAAAAAATAAAGAATTCATATTGCCTGGGGTTAGGAAGAATAAAAAGTAGATCTACGAGCGCCACTGTTTGCGACACCCAGCCATATCACTCAGTTTCTAACCACCGGTTATCATGATCTCGGGGTCCTGATGCTGGGAGCCTAACGTAACGTATGTGACCGTGTCCTAGTTTGGGCTTTCATACCCTCATATCAGGTCTAAGTTTGACCACCCTTTACCTTTTTCCAACCGCTTTCGGCCCCAATAAACGGTGCGCCGTGGCAACCTATATTGTGACATCAACTGGGAGTTCTTGCTCAGTCGGGGTGGCGGGTGATAGGTGAGATGTCGATGGGGACCAGTTGAACTGAGTCTCTAAGTGTTCAGCTCGTCGGTGAAGACGGTGTTGCTGACGGTGGATCAGTGCGCCATCGGTATGTGCTTTGCACCTTTAAAGTGCAAAGTGATGCCGCAGGACTGGGTTTCGTCCACTCCCGCTTTGAAACTAAATGGCCAGGATTTAGTTGTGGTGGATTACTTTTCCTACTTAGGTAGTTACGTGACCAATGACAGTAGCGCCCGCATTTCCAAAGCTCGAGCAGCGTACACACCTTTGACGTAAGCGCGACGTTGAACGGTCGAGTATATTGTGTGACCGTTTGTTCAGTTCTGCTTTATGGTTGTTAGACCTAGAATTTGCGAGTAGATATCCGTCGACTAGGAGTTTTCGTTTATCGGTGTTTACGCAGTTTAGCCCACGTTAGATGGAGCGAACGGGTTAGTAACGTGGAGGTGAGCCGTTGTGTGTTTGGGAGTCTATCAGGTATAAACCTGCTGGCACCGAATTCAGATTAGTAGACCTCGCTGGCTAGGGCACGTATTGCGTATGCCCAGCCATCGTCTACCGCACCTCGCTTTGTTCGCTGTGGCTAACGCGGGCTGGAGGAAACCACGTGGAGGTCAACAGATGACGTGGAGACGCTGCATGAAGAAATGCACGGAGCCATTAGGCAGAGTAGGTGTCTCTCGCCTTCCAGGTTGGGGTCCGAAAGACTCCACAACTGGTTGGTTGGAAACATTGAAGGATATGACAGCGAACCGACAGCAATGGCGTTCTTTTTGTCGTTTCTTATCAAGTCAGAATGCTTGAAACGGTATGTATGCAAAGTTCAATTGCGTACTCTGTGTGTCGACCATAGTGGCTCATCTTGTCCCTCCCTCAAAATTGATCTAACCCTTGTCCACCTTAAATTTTACCACTGACCTTGTATGCATTGTGAGTATGGCAGCGGTCAGTGAAGTTCGCTTCACTGTATTTCGCTGTACGATGATGATGATGATGCCTATTTTCCTGGGGCCCGTATTCCTAATTTTCCAATTAGATGGGAAAGATGGTGACTAGTACCAATAGCTGCAGCTTTGTCCATCTATCTATACTTTCCTACTCACCAATTCATCCATCCTTCCTCATTTTCGATGAGCTAGCGTCTAAGGGATTTACCTCTAAACTTCTCGCTGGCATCATACTCCCTCGATTGTTTGCTGCTCGTGAAGAGTGCACACGTGAGAACCAGGCTGGTTTTAGACCTGGTCGAGGTTGTATCGACCACATCTTCACTCTTCGTCAAATTCTAGAACACAGACAATCCTTCCGTAGGTCCACCATTTCCATCTTCCTCGACCTGAAAGCGGCTTTCGACTCAGTCGACCGCTCTAAACTCTGGCGCTGCCTCTCTCTGAAGGGTGTGCCCGAGAAGTCTTTCAATATTGTATTCCCTCTACAACAACATGCAAAGCTGAGTCCCAGCTTACGGCACTTTTTCACCCGAGTTCACTACAGAAGGTGGTGTTCGTCAGGGTTGCCCTCTCTCTCCGTTTTTATTTAC